GAAAATATTTCAAAAGTTAAACAAACACCAGAAAAATGAAGTAAGAAAATATTTTCAATAGGCAGACCAAACACCTGAAAATGATGAAAGGGAAATAATTTTTCCGGAAAATAACTTCCACGAAAAATATTTTCCCAAGGAAAACATTTTACTTCTAACCAAACGGACCCTTAGAGTTTGTTTTTTTTCTCCCGTTTGTGAAAACATTTTTACCTGGTTTTGTGTCTAAGTTGATATTTTCACCTTTCTAATTTTGCAGGGATTACACTATAATGAAGGTTTCTTACTCGAGCAAGAACTATTATCTCAACTGTCTTCATTTTTGATAGCTACAACATGAAAACAAAAGCACAATTATTTTATCATCTTAGACAACGAGGACTAATTTTTCGAACATTGTCACTATAATGATATTTTTACACTTACATTGTTACTGTAATAATATTTTTACACGATTATTTTATCATCTCAGCCAACGAGCATTAATTTTTTGAACATTGTTACTGTAATGATATTTTTACACTAACATATTCGAGTGCATATATAATAGGTAAGTTTACTTAATTTGAAGGGAAATGAATCAAAGACTTTTTTAGCAGACCTTGAGGCCTTCTTCAGTTGTGTTGTGGTCCATGCACTGACGCTCAGTCCTTTATTGCAACCTACCAAAACGTGAGGCTGATCTAAGTTGAACTCACAATATTGCTTGGAATTGGACCAAGGGATCTTTGGTTGATATTTCCCTTCATTCTCTTTCTTTGTTATTTAGTTTTCTTCTGTTTTGAGTATGGCAGTGTTTCAATATCTTGGTTGAGTAATGTCATTATTGTAAGCCATATCTTGCTTATTTCCTTAGTACAAAATTTTAATGGTTTTGGAAGAAAACAGTTTCAAATGCATGTGACATGTAGAGAAGAAAAGGTATGAAATTAATTTGAATGTAGAAACTTATCATCTTATGCATCCAAATTCGCTAGTTTACGAATATTTTTACACTAAGCAATTAAAGACCAACTTCAATTTGCACCCTTGCATCCTGGAATATCAAATTTTAACAATCAAGTAATATTTACAGCTATTTATAGCATGTTGCTCAAATTTATTGAGAAGCTAGGAAGTTTGATAGCCACTTTTTCGTTGAAAAAACTACATTCAAGCAAATAATTTGAACTCTATATTTAACTCTTGTATAACTTCCCTCACTAACAAAAAAAACCATCTATCATTCATGTGTATACTACATGAATGATATATACACCTTGTAGTAAGCCAACTAATTTATTTATAGGTCATATTACTTAACCAACATATAAATAATAATTAAATATCACTTGTGCTAATTCCAAAACTCATAACAAATAAAAAATTCTTTAACCACTATTCCAAGTAGAGAGCAACTAGTACAAACTACCTGCAATGCAAAATGAGTATTGTCTACAAGAAAAATTGATCTGTGACCTTGACCAATCTCAAAGATCTTTCACATCCCACCGTCCACCATACTGAGCATAGTACGAGCGTATTAATGGCACATGTTGCACAAGATGATAAAGACTGCCACCATTTTTCTCGAGCATGGAGACAAAATTTTCCGGCATATCATACAAATGAATCTCCTTGAGTCGCCTGAGGTCATCTATACCTACTGGAATCTGCCCTAACTGACCGCATCGCCTTATGATCAGCGTTTGTAGACAAGGCAATGAATTGCGTTCCATTATGACCATTTTCAGCTGCCGAAGTAGCTCTAACTCCAGTATCTTGAGCTTCTGAAATTTGCCAGCATTGAAATCCAATTGGTCCCCATTGTAGGCGTCAAGCAGCTGGAGTTCTAGTAAATTAGGAAGATCTTGAAGGATATTAATGGGATTGTTGCACTGTTGATCCAGCCGAGACCACTTTAGACGAAGCCTTACCAGATCGTGAAGTTTGGAAATCCAGATAGGCATCCTCTCCAGCCTTCCATTCAAATATAAACGCTGGAGTGGAGGAGGATGTGAAATTTCTTGCATGTCTAGAACTCCCGCCTCATTTTCTGCTTTTGCATTCAAAGAATGCAAATTTCGCAGCATTTGAATAGTCTCAGACAAGATCCTTCCATCTTCTTTGCGCAAACCCATGATTCCCAGCCTTCTCAGTTCTCTGAGGCCTCGCATTGCAACAATGATTTTGTTATTTTTATTGACTTGCACAAACAGTAGCTTGCGAAGATTGGCCGACCATGTGATCTTTCCTGCGACCTCAAATCCTTTAATTGTGTTAAATGCCACATAATCTTCAATGTCATATCTGTAAACAAGTAAGTAACGAAGCTTAGAAAGATGACATATTTCTTTTGGCAGTCTTCTGACTAATGTTTGTTTGAGGTCCAAGGTTTCAAGGTGCTTAAGCTTTTCTATTGATTTCGGAATGCTTGTGATTCTTGTATTCCTCAAACACAAGTACCTCAACAACAATAGTTCTTCAATGTCTGCAGGAAACATGTCCAAGTTTGCACCCTCCAGATGCAATTCCCTCAACATCTTTAAGCTTGAATAGCCAATTGGAATGGAGTGCTCGTATGGATCCAATGAGTCAAATATTAGCAAAGCACGAGCACGAAGATTTGGGCATGACAAGACTAGATCACCTTTATGGATGGATATTCGCCTGATCCTTTCGTTACTGACGTCAAATATACCTTGTTCTGGATAAACTTCACAAAAGTTTTCATCATGTAACTTCGAGAGAACAATCTCATGAATAATATTATGAACCCTGTGAGACTTTGGCCTCCCATCAAAATCCACTGCACATACCTGAATCAAGTTTCTTGCAATCAATTCGTTCAGGTATTCTTCCCCCAAATCTTCGAGTTCTTTTCCATTGTACACTCCTGTAATGAACCCTTCTGCCATCCATAACCGTATTAGCTCTGCACGCCGGATGGGGTGATTAGGGGGAAAAGTATTCATCAACAGAAAACAGTTTTTAAGATGGTAAGGTAAGTCATCATAACTAAGAATCAACACTTTTGTAATATTCAGAAGATGGCCATTGCTTCGTAGCTCTGATGCAAGACCATCACGCAACTTTTTCCATTCAGATGCACTTTCCCGCTGAGTTGACAAAAGGTGCCCAATTTCAGTGATTGCTAATCGTAGCCCTTCACATTTTCCTAGTATTTCATTGGACAGTGTAGCTAAAGCTGGAGGGCATATATGAGATATTGGAAAGGCGATCCTGTGAAAGAGTTCCTTAGCCTTTTCTAGAGATAGATGCTGAATGGGATGGACAGCAACGGATCTATTTTTCAGTGAATAGGCTATATCCCCTCTTCGCGTAGTGATGACTATTCTACTCCTATTCCTTCTTGGCAATGCTAACATAATAGATCTCCAAACATCATCAGCCCACAGATCATCGAGGACGATTACATACCTCTTATCCTGCAAATGGTCCCTAATGAGGTTGATGCAGTGTTCCGAGCTTTGCTGCTGGGGAGCTGGGGCCGTTTCCGCCCTGGAGCTGCATCTGCATAGATCTAACATGTTCCGCAAGATCTCCAATTTCTTCTTGGACTTTGAAACACTGATCCATGCAGAGAAACCGAAGTCTTGTTTAACTGCCTCGAATACTTGCTTGGCAAGAGTAGTCTTGCCAGATCCACCCATGCCCACAACAAACATGACCTTGTGCTCATCCACCATATCCAGTGCCCACGCCATCAGCATGTCCTTATCTTCCTCAAAGCCTACAACGTCAGCATCTGCAAGGTACAAAGGAGCAATCCTTGGATGAAGATCTGAGTAATCAGGGTTTGTAGTTGGACTTGGTGTTAAGGCAGCATGGGACGAATTTGCTGGTAGTGGTAGGTATCTTTCTCTACCCTTGTTGATATCCTCGAGAATTGATTTGATATCATTTATCTGGTCGTCAATTGAATGGTTTCCCCACCATCTGGCTAATTTTCCTTCTGTCTGGCAATGGTCAAAAAGGTCAAGGATGTCGATGATGTCATCAGCTGCATCTTGAACCTTTCGAACCCAATCCAGAATTTGTTCATCTTCGACTGCTCTTTGATGAGCTTTCCTCAGAAATGCTGCTATAGAATCCAGTTCGCTTCTCAAAGTCTTGATCCCAGTATCAACTTTCTTTGGCAACTGCAATTCTCGCTTTAGAAAAGCATCAAGCTTTGCAAGAGCAAATTGCACACAAGGGTCTGTCATGATTTTTCTTTTGCTAGATGGTGTGTAGTTTGTGTTGGACTTATGATGAATACGAGTTTATATTGAATTGCATAGAATCTTTACTTTTAGATATTGTTGTTTTATAGGGAAAGGGCAAACGGTGCCAGGCTGCCAGTCTCCCCAGCGGTGCTGGCCCCCAGTCCGACGGAAAAGCCACTGCGGTCCTTGTCCATGAATGTTTTTCCATTTCGTCTCAATTTTCTAGTATTGAACGACTAAAAGTTACCGTCAACTTGTCATGAGGTCTGGCAGAAGGCGTGAAGATACGAAGAGGGAAGGCGTGGAATAGGTAGAAGGAACAAATGAAGGCGTGGTTTCAAGACCACGCCTTAGCTGGAAGATGATTCTGCAACAGACGCACATGAAGAATAACAAACTTTCAAATTAGCTGCAACGGTCTCTCAGCCACTTGGTCACGCCAATTGGAAGATACGAAGTTGGTTATCAGCTGATTATCTATAAATAAGATAGAATGAATGTAATAGGGAGGGAAGTTTTGTGTAATATCATCAGAGATTGGGCTGAGCCCTTTTCTGTTCTTTCTCCCCAATTCCTTCACTCTTGTTCATCTTCTTAACTTTTCCCGCCTTTTCTGTATCTCTTAATTCTTACATCAATTACAGTTATCTGAGTCAATTCCGCAACTTAGTCCTTCGATTGATTGATTATTATCGAGTTGAATTATTCATTCTTGTTATTAGATTTGAGATTTCCACATAGCTCAGTCTGGTACCATTACAGTGGTATCAGAGCTAGCTACGAGCCATTGGGATGACTAAAACACAGGAGGAGATGATGAGGAAGGACCTGACTGAGCTAGGGAGTGCCATGAGGACATTTGCCAATAAGAATGACGGACTGGAGCAAGCCGTGAGAGCCATGGAACACAGGCAAGAGAGCACTGAAAAAACCATTAAGAACTTGGATCAGAAGTATGAGAGCATGGTGAACATGATGGCACAGATGATGGCCAAGTTGACTGACAAGGAAAAAGGAGAAGAAGGAAGCAGCTCAGGAGGATATCAGAAATTAGATCTGGTCAGCAAAAAACCTGAGAAAGCAGAAAATAGAGGAGGGAACAGGTTGCCAAAACTTGACTTCCCTGTGTTTGATGGAGAGAACCTGAGGGAATGGGTCAGGAGAGCCAACAAGTACTTTCAGATCCAGGGGGTGGAAGAGGAGCTAAAATCTGATCTGGCTCAATTGCACCTCAAGGGGAAGGCAGACATCTGGTTCCATGGAATGTACCATAGAAGAATTGAAGTTCCTTGGGAGGAGTTGTCCATGGCCATATGCGAGAGATTTGGAGGAGGAACACCAGAAGAGACCATAGAAGAGTTCAATAAGCTGACTCAGACAGGAAGTGTGACTGATTACCTGGAAAAATTCGAACTGCTCAAATCCCTGGTAATGCCTCTACTACCTAACCAACTTGACTCCTATTATAAATCCTGTTTTCTGAGTGGCTTGAAGGGTGAGATTGTAAATATGGTGAGAATGGCTAGACCTCACACTTTAGCAGATACTATAGAAGCTGCTAAGCTGCAGGAGAAGAATTTAGAAGTTATAAGGAAGGCACAGAGGGCACTACCCCACGGAGCCCTATACAACTCCAATTCCATGGGACACAGTAGGCCAAACCTTGTCCCACAACTGAGGAACAAATGGCACAATGAAGGTTCTAAGGTACTCGGGGACAGTGACCACAGGGGGCACAAGGTAGGGGGAAACACAGCAGACAAATTCAGGAAAATCTCTCCTACAGAGTTCAACTACAGGAGGGAGAAAGGATTGTGCTACAAGTGTGCAGAACCATACACTTTAGGCCACATCTGCAAGCAAGCTCAGATTCAGTATATATTGGAGGAGGAACCAACTGAGTTAATTGAAGTAACTGAAGGGGGAATAGATGAAGGGGAAGAGTTCTGTGACTGTATTGAGGGAGAAATCAGTAATGAAAGGATAGAGGTTTCAATTCACACATTGTCTGGAGGAAATGGACACAACACCTTTAAACTTAAGGGGGTACTTGCAGGAAGGGAACTCCTAATTCTGGTTGACAGTGGCAGCACCCATTGCTTTTTGGATGAAAGGTTGGTTTCTCACCTACAACTGCAAGTGGCAGGAACCCCCCTGACAGTAAGAGTCGCTAATGGGGAAAGATTGGAATCTAGACAACTCAGCAGACCCCTGAATTGGAAGATACAGGGACATGAGTTCCAGCACCACTTCAACACTTTGCAGCTGGGGAGCTGTGATATGGTGCTGGGGGTGGACTGGCTGGCCAGATACAGCCCCATCGAATTTGACTTCAACCAGCTGAGCATGAAGTTCTCAAAAGGGAAGGAGGAAGTGGAGTTAAAGGGTGAATCTAATAAACTAAAACTGACAGCCATTAAAGGAAGCAAGTTGGCAAAGTGGAGAAGGAAGCAAGAATATGGAGTGACTGCATTTCTCACTATAATGGAGGAAGGACAGGAAGGACAGGAAGATGTGCCAGCAGAAGTGAAGCAGATGCTGAACCAGTACCAGGATATATTAGCTGAACCACAGGGCCTACCTCCTCCTAGGAGCCATGACCATGGGATACCACTCAAGGAAGGTGCCAGGCCATTCCAAATCAGGCCCTACAGATGTCCCTATGTGCAGAAGTCAGAGATAGAGAGGCTGGTCAGGGAAATGCTGCAAATGGGAGTTATACAGCCTAGCAATAGCTCCTTTGCCTCTCCAGTCCTGTTAGTCAAAAAGAAGGATGGAAGCTGGAGGTTTTGTGTGGACTACAGGCAACTCAATGAGCTCACAGTAAAGGATAAGTTTCCAATGCCTCTGATTGATGAGCTGATTGACGAATTACATGGATCCAAGTATTTCACTAAAATTGATCTAAGGGGGCAGGTTACCATCAGATCAGGGTCAAAATAGAGGACAGATACAAGACTGCATTCAGGACTCATCAGGGACTATACGAATTCAAGGTAATGCCATTTGGACTAACCAATGCCCCTGCTACATTTCAGAGCTTAATGAACCAAGTTTTCAAGGAGCAATTGAGGAAATTTGTGATAGTGTTCTTTGATGACATCTTGGTGTACAGCCCCACACTGGAAGCTCATCTCCAACATGTAGCAATAGTTTTGGACCTATTGAGACAGCACCAGCTGTTTGCCAAGCAGAGCAAGTGCTGTTTTGCACAAACTCAAATTGAGTACTTAGGCCACATAATTACTGCTGAAGGAGTGCAGGCAGATCCTAAGAAAATTGAGGGGATGAAGAACTGGCCACAGCCTAGAAATGTGAAGCAACTGAAAGGGTTCCTAGGTTTGACAGGCTACTACAGGAAATTTGTGAGAGGTTATGGTTCCATTGCCAAGCCTCTAACAACATTGCTGAAGAAAGGGGGATTCCAATGGACTGAGGAGGCTGATGAGGCATTCCAGAGGCTCAAGATGGCTATGTGCAGCACACCTGTGCTAGCCTTGCCGGATTTCAACAAGACTTTCATCATAGAAACAGATGCATGCTATGGAGGGATAGGAGCTGTGCTTCTGCAAGAAAGGAGGCCAATTGCTTATTTAAGTCAGAGCTTAGGAATAAAGAACTTGGGTTTGTCCATTTATGAGAAGGAACTTTTGGCACTGGTCACTGCAGTTACTAAGTGGAGGCATTACTTGGAAGGACAACACTTCATTATCAGGACAGATCACCAAAGTCTCAAGTATTTGCTTGAGCAAAGGGTCACAACCCCACTACAGCAGAAGTGGCTCACAAAACTGTTGGGGTTAAGCTATGAAATTCAATACAAGAAGGGCAGGGAAAATGTTGTTGCAGATGCACTATCCAGGAGAAACAGCAAGGAAGAAGGAGAGATTACAGAAATGACATATGTTATTCCTGAGTGGGTCAAGGAGGTGGAGGAAAGCTATCAAGGAGATGAGGAAGTTCAGGAAATGATCAAGAGGTTGATTCTCACACCAGGTTCCTTACAGAACTACTCCTATCACAATGGGATAGTCCAATACAAAGGAAGGGTAGTAGTGGGGAAGGGAGGACAAATCAGGAGGAAGATCATCCCTGCCATCCATGATTCACAGCTAAGAGGCCACTCTGGTGTACAAGCTAGCTATCTAAGAGCCAAGCAGTTCTTTCATTGGCCAGGGATGTATAAGGAAGTCAAGGATACAGTACTGCAATGTGACACCTGTAAGAGATGCAAGGATGAGCATGTTGCTTATCCTGGTCTCCTGCAACCACTACCCACACCACAGTACTCCTGGAGTCATGTTACCATGGATTTCATTGAGGGGCTACCTTCTTCAGAAAGGAAAGACACTATCATGGTCACAGTAGACAGGTTCACTAAGTATGCTCATTTCATTAGCCTAACTCATCCTTTTGATGCTCCCACTGTGGCCAGAATCTTCCTGGACCAAGTTTGCAGACTCCATGGAATGCCACTGAACATGCTGTCAGACAGGGATAAGGTGTTTACCAGTCAATTCTGGACAGAATTATTTTCACTGATGGGGACTGAACTATGCTTAAGTACTGCCTATCACCCCCCCAGACAGATGGCCAATCTGAGAGGGTGAATCAGGTGCTAGAGATGTACCTACGATGCATGACACATCAGGAGCCTAAAAGATGGAATGCCTGGCTATCAATGGCAGAGTGGTGGTATAACACCACTTATCACACTGCCATACAGATGAGTCCTTTTGAAGCATTGTATGGAATGAAGCCACCCCAGCTAGCTTTAGGTGTATACTCACACTCTAAAGTGGCCACAGTAGCTGATCACTTACAAGAAAGGGAGAGAATCGAGGGTCTACTCAAGGAGCACCTGGAGGAGGCCAACAACAGAATGAAGGTATATGCAGATAGGAGAAGGACTGAGAGGGAGTTCGAAGTTGGGGATTGGGTGTATTTTAGGCTGCAACCTTATAGGCAAAACTCTGTAGAGATGAGAAGGAGCACTAAACTATCAGCAAAGTACTTTGGACCTTATCAAGTAATCCAGAGGATAGGAAGGGTGGCCTACAAACTTCAGCTCCCACCCTCATCCAAAATACACCCAGTTTTTCATGTGTCCCTGCTCAAAAGGAAGATTGGACAGAAGGTGGTTCTCGTGTTACAACTGCCAGCAACAAACGAGAAGGGTCACTTAAGGGTGGAGCCAACGGCAGTGCTGGATCGCAGGATTGTTAAGAAGAAAAACGCAGCAGCAGTCCAGTGGCTGGTACAATGGTGGGGCGCCACTCCTGCTGAGGCAACGTGGGAAGATGCGGAGGAGATAGAACTCCAATTTCTAGAATTCCAATCTTGAGGTCAAGATTTAATTGCAGGGGAAGCTATTGTCATGAGGTCTGGCAGAAGGCGTGAAGATACAAAGAGGGAAGGCGTGGAATAGGTAGAAGGAACAAATGAAGGCGTGGTTTCAAGACCACGCCTTAGCTGGAAGATGATTCTGCAACAGACGCACATGAAGAATAACAAACTTTCAAATTAGCTGCAACGGTCTCTCAGCCACTTGGTCACGCCAATTGGAAGATACGAAGTTGGTTATCAGCTGATTATCTATAAATAAGATAGAATGAATGTAATAGGGAGGGAATTTTTGTGTAATATCATCAGAGATTGGGCTGAGCCCTTTTCTGTTCTTTCTCCCCAATTCCTTCACTCTTGTTCATCTTCTTAACTTTTCCCGCCTTTTCTGTATCTCTTAATTCTTACATCAATTACAGTTATCTGAGTCAATTCCGCAACTTAGTCCTTCGATTGATTGATTATTATCAAGTTGAATTATTCATTCCTGTTATTAGATTTGAGATTTCCACATAGCTCAGTCTGGTACCATTACACAACTTTCGCATCAAAGTTTTTCTTTTCATTTCCCTTCTGCTTTTGATTTAATTTTGTCATTTTATTGCGAGTAGGTCAATCTCGATTTTGTTAATGTTGTTTATTTCATCCACTTGAGACGGTTACGTCATGACTGGGAACAAGCGCAAAAAACCAAGAAAGAACCAAAAGACAAATACCACATTTATTTACCGATCCGTGCTTTGTATCCACAAATTTCACACGTGATTGTGATCCTGTGAAGCCCTGTGCTATTTTCTTGAGGAGAATCTCATGGAGTTGTTTGTCTCACATGCATGATTTTTTTTTGTCTCACATACATGATTAAATGCCTCTTTTTATTTTTTTTCTTGGTAGGGGCAATAATTGTTCAAAACTTCATCCATAGTATTAAAATGACTTTGTCCCATGTTGCCTTTTGTATAAAGAAGCATTTCCTTTGGTTGTCTATAAATATAATAGGTTTGTGATGGGATTAAGTGCACCAAATCAAGAGAGCGTTAGTGGACTATTTAGACTTTTGAGTCATTAAACTTTTTGTTTAGTCAAATATTTTGGGTTCACTTGTGTTTTAAATATTAGGTGTTTTGAGTCTAAAAATACTTTTTTAAGGCATTTTTGTACTTTCTTTTTCATAGTAAAATATTGCTCCTCCTCCGCCCATGAATGTAGGTCAATTTGATTGAACCACGTAAATTCTTGTGTTCTTATTTTATTTATTCTTTGCTTTGTTATTTGTATTTTTGGGGTTGCCAAAAATCTTTTCGTTAATTTTCTAGGGCCAGACCTAACAAACTGGTATCAGAGTTTTTTCGGAGGTTTTGAATTTTGTGACAATAATGACGATAACAAAGACTGTTATTATGAATTTGGAGAATATAGATTCGAAAATTGATAATGAGAATTAGGCCTTGTTACTTCTGTATTCCTTTCACCAATTTTTTAAACTATTTTTGCGATATTATGATTTATGGAAAAGAAACAATTTCGTATCGAGAAATTAAATCTGCATTAAAATTTAAGGAGCAGATAGACACAGATATTACTGGAAAAATTTAGTGAAAGTCAGGCGGAAGGTCTAGTTGCTAGGGGTAGAATCAAGAAAAAAGAATTTGACAGTAGTAGATCTAAATCTAAATCTAAATCCAGACATAGAAATTTGGAGTGTAATTATTGTCATAAATTGGGGCACATTACGGCAAATTGTTTTAAATTGAGATATAGATTGAAATAAAAGAGGAAATCTAGTGAGAAAAATATTAAGACTGCCGAATCCGGTGTTGCAGCTGATGAGAATGAAGGAAATATTTTCTTTACGACTGATGACAGAACAAGGTCTAAAAATGAATGGATTTTAGATTTAGGGTGCTCTTATCACATGTGTCCCAATAGGGATTTATTTTTCACTGATAAATCTTGTAATGGTGGAATTATTTTGATGAGTAATAATGTCATTTGTGATGTTGTTGATAAGGGTACAATCTGAATTAAAATGCATGATGGTATTGTGAGGATGCTCACTAATATTAGACATGTTCTTAATTTGAAAAAAAAAAAATCTCTTCTCTTTGGGCATCCTTGAGACTCTTAGGTGCAAATACATAACTGAAAATGAAGTTATGAAGGTTTCCAAAGATGCTCTCATTGTAATCACAGCTTGCAGGGTTGGTAGTTTATATATTTTGCAGGGATCTACTGTCACAGGTTCGACTGCAGTTTTGTCATCACCATCTATATTTAAAAAAATTAATAAATATATATCTATATTTAATATTCAACTTAATTAGTTACAAACTTATGACAATGATATTATTAGTTATATGTATTATATATTGTATATTAGTATTTATAGTATAATTGATATTATCAATTATACTAATAATTATATATGTTTATACTAATAGAAATTATTAATTAGTTAAAATAAATTTACTAATACATTTATACTAAATTCTTAATTACACTTGACATAATAACACATTTTTTCTCATAAAAAATACAATAATGATTTAGTGATTGTGTTTGTATTAACAGTGAAAACTTAACTACTTTAGTTGTATTTG